CCCCCCCTAGAGAAGCCCAGGCCCAGGCCCCAGTTGCTGGAGATTGAGGACTGATTGAGATTGGAGGTCTTAGAGACCAGATCTCCCTCATAGAGGTGATGTCCTGATGTTGTATGATGGGATGTCGTGGACTTGCTGATAGATGATGCTTGATGGACTTCTGTGTGGGAATCAATGAGAACTAGTATGTTTGAATCAGATTGATGAGAAACTTGATAGATTACAAGTCGACATTTTTGCTAGACACGTTCTTCAAAACAACTAACATTTTCAAAAAAAACACAGAAAACCACAAATCACAAAAACGCGTAAAAACCACACCCGCATAACGTCGTTTTCTGTAAAAAAAGTACCTTGAAGAATGATTGTTTTGTTTAATCTGTGTTTTTTTCGACTTTTCTTGTGAGGAAACCTGACTGGTGTTTGCTAGAGGTTTAGTTGTGGAAGGAGCAAGCTCGGGCAAAAGGCTCAGTCAAGCTGGGAAAGCAGATCAGCCACGTTGATCTGGGGCCAACAGGAAATAGCGACTCATTCGGGGCTGGCCATTTTTCGCGTTGAGAGCACTTGTTGGGTGTCGAGAAGAAGACCGCCGTGAGTCAAAAATAGTAGAGCGCTTGCATGCTTGCGTTTGCACCCATGCCAACAGCGGATTTCTTCCTGAAGCTTAAATGAGCGTGCTTTGGTCTTGCGTCATAAGTCTTACGTATTCAACGCACAGCCACTGATCCTACGGTAGCAGAACCCAGGAGCAGGCCCGAAACTCACCTATGCCACAACATCCAGAATTGTTTATTGTTGCAGGGCAAGGCCTCTGCATGGTAATTATTCACTTCTTCGTTTGTTGCCTGTAGTGGTAGTGAAGTCTTCTAAAGCTAAGCTTCCGTATCAATCTCTATCTGAGCACCAAGCATATGTACACACTGCCAGTCTCACTCAATGCTGTCTCAAGCTCGCATCCACCTGGAGCAAAGTCATTGCGAGCGAAGCAAAGGTCTCATCAAGTTAGAGACATATATTTTTAGTAAAATACAATATACATATACAATTATATATATATATACATTGGTCTCTGGCAACGCTGACTTGACGGTTGTTCTCGAGCAACAGAAACGGTGCTTTTTGGGGGGCCTCCAGATGCCAAGATCGGAAATGTAAAGTTTACAGTGGGGAGTGCGAGTTCTTCACACAGCGGCATACTGCTGCGCCAAATACTACTGTACGAGTTTACATTGAGATTCATTGAGTTGCAAAACAGTGATTGCCTCTGCTCTCCTTCCCTGCTCGAATCGATCTGCTAGACAAGAAACGAGCTGTCCACAGCTTAGACAGGTTCTTGCCAATCTCATTTGGAGAAAAGTGGCGCGCAACATCCATCCTCATCAAGTCTGCAGTCATTCATGACTCCACGATTGGTGAGGATGTTCCACAAAAACTTGATGCTGACAATGCTGTCTGCCAGGTCTAGTGAAATCTTGCAGTCTCGAGACACAGTCACGTCATCCAACGGGGCCATAGCTTCTGACTTTTGGATTAGCACAAACAAATGCAAAGTACAAACAAACACGAGTCAAAAAGGTCGGCAACAAAGGTTGACAACAAGACTTCTGTTTTGGAAAACGTTTTCTGGTAGGGATCAGTTCATGACGTGGTTTATCTGATCTGTGAGGTTCCAGCTTTGTCGTTGGAAACAGCTGTGATCGTCAGTGATGCATTGCCAAAACAGGTCAAAGACTTTGTGATAGAAAGGCCAAATGAACCAATTTTTTGTGTCTGCGCACACAATCCAGATTGCAGCTCTACCCAACCTTGAGGTACTTGGGACATTAGCAAAAAACTGTCTATAGGAGGATCGTGAAGCTTGTACCCAACTCCTGAAGAATCAAGATTGCTAAATTATGGTGGACGACTTGTAATCACCTTGACTCTCACGGCATGGGTTTGAGCGCATCCGTGCGACACCACTTGCTGTGACACTGGGCTTTGAAGGGCTTGGAATGCTCGCAAAGCGCTCGCAAAGCAGCTCGCACTGCTCGAAGAGAGCAAAGGGGCCTTTGAGCCTTTGGAACTCTTTTTGAGACCTTTTGACACTCAAACACTGCACGGCGATCGACCTGAAATGCAAAATCCTTTCGGCTTTGCACCTTGGCATCAGGACATGTCAGGGCTGATCGAAACAGAATCAGGATGGGTGGCCTTGATTCGACACACATAAGCACAATTAGCCAAGCAAGGTTCCCTTTAACATCCTTTAGCTGTTTGTCATTAGACTTGCTTCGCCTGGTGCTGCGTCGCTTGCTGAGCTGATGCAGAATTTCGGCAGCTCTCCATCTGTCACAGTGTTCAGTCGGATGTGGTCCATAGGAACCAATTGATTAGTGATTAGTGCGAGCGCTTCTTCAAGGAAACTCCCCCGGGGTGTGGCTAGAATCAAACGTTGAAAAGGGGCGGCGCGGTTGGCCCAAACTATTCTGACGGGTTCACACTGAAGTTGACAGTCTCAGTGTGGAACGGCAGAAGTCAAACTGTGGCTGTGCTTGGGGCTTCGGCTGGGCGAGCTGAGACCAGCGCAGGGACTGGGTGACAATTGGAGGGTACTCTGAGCACAGCTTGTTCATGGCTAGCGCCAGGTTCATCATTGCCATCACGTCGTCTCCTTTATTGGACGCTCAAGAAAAACATAACTGAACATGTAGACCAACATCGCCCCTTCGCCAGCACAGAGTGCGTGCTTGCAGGTGGGCGCAGGATATGTCAGACATGTGCCCACATATTCCACAACCTTGAAACGATCAAAGATGGTCATCTCGTCCAATCTTTTACCTTGGCAGGCGACGGTCGTTGCTGCTGTGACGCCACATAATAAGGAAAACCTTACTTCCACCATCAACATCTTGCCCTATAGCCAACAACTACTCAATCAACATCTTACCCTACAATCAACATGTACTCCATCAAAGACCACGCGCTGCTTTCCCGAATCTTCGGCCTCATCCGGAAGAAGGCGTTGCCTCCTTGGGCCACTGTTCTAGGGAGACTCAGTCACAGATTGCTGCAACCAGGTGTAAAAGCAACTTTCAGCTTCGCTTTGGACAGCTTCGGACACTTGGAGCAAAAGCTGGCCCGCATTCCTGCGCCGTGGAAATTGCTTCAAGCTTTTGCGACCAGGTTCAACCGTGTTTGCAGCGTAGCCGAAAACCCCTCTGGCACAGCTCCTGATCCAGAACACCACGGCGCCCCGACCGAGAAGCGGGAGGGCGGCACCAAACATATGCTGCCTTTGCAAATGCGCGGCCATTTGCGGCTCACCGAAGCAACCCCTGGCCAGTCATCCTCGGCAAGATGTTCTCCTTAAGCAATCAATACTCCAAGTCGCGCGGAAGCCCAGAAGAAAACTCTATCCATTTCACAATCGGTGCAATGAGCCCCCGATTCTGAATGCGGGTTTTGCCTGAAATCTGGTCGCGCCTGGCTGCTTCCTCGCTGCTCCACAATCGAAGAAGCCATCTGTTGCCCCAACACCGAAAGGGTCCAAGTGTTGAAAACCAAAGCGCAAAGGACACTTGTGAGAAGGGAAATCGTCCGAGGAAAAAAACGGCGAAGAAGCCAGGAACCATCCTCGTACGGGTCCCTGCTCAGTCATTCTCAAGCCTACTGGTTCAATTGCTTCCAATTTAAGACCTTCCTGGCGCACCTTGCACGCGAAGTCGCAAACGAAACAAGTCAAACTCGTAAGATGCCAGAATGTCTCCAAAGTAAGACGCTGCGCTCATTCTGCTCATTGCAGTCAACCAAACCCTCAAAATTGCGACATTCTCCGGAAGCGCCTGAAATTGTGGAGGTCAGCTCCTTGGACCGGAACCGGAACCAGGCTTGCTCCGGCCTCAATTCGGCCTCCTGTTCTCCAGCATAGTCAGATCTGGTCTTTGTTCAAGTGGAACTTCCAAACCTGCCATGCGCAGAAGAGCCCGGCTGGGACTGCAATTCTGTTACAACTGCCTGAGCCCATACAATAAGAGTGGATACCACAATCGTGATAATCAAAATCATACTCATATTCTAAACTTGCAAAACTCCAACCTGCGCTTCTCACATTCACCACAGTGCTTCTCACATTCACCACAGTGAGCCAGCAAGCAATTCGACTTGTTTCTACTCATTGTGTGGGTGGCTTATAACATTTTTCCTTCTGTTGCAGCCGATCGAAGAGACTCATCCGTGGAAAAGCGGTCCCAAATCTTTCTCTTTGCTCCCTTTATTGCGGGAAGCCTTTGCAGCAGCCAACACACGCGCCGCTACCACATTGTCATCTGGAGCTTCTGCTGCAGGCGCAGCCTCTGAAGGCTCATCTACAACATGAGCCCCAGGCGCAGGCTCATCTACAACATCAGCCCCATTGCCATCCTCTAAGAGCGCTCTACAACTTCTTCTGCAGCTACCCATTCTCTTCGATAGAGCATGCCTAGAAGCCTTGCTGCGCTGCAAACAGCAAAAGCATGCTGGGCTCAATGATGCAAGAAAATAATCAGCGCACACCTTAAGGCAGCGTTAAGTCTGAAGTCCAGCTGTGCAACATAAAGATTTAGACCAAAATTGCCCCCAGAGTGAACCTGCCCAATAGACACCGACTAAGGTGGCTGAGTCTGAAGCGAAGCCGCACAAAAAGGATTCTTTGTGCCACATTGAATCTGCAGCGAAGCCCCTAAAAGACTTCGACAAAACCAAAGAGTGCACTTCACAGTAAAGTCACTGCCGACATGTCAAAAAGCAAGCTTGACTCCAGATCTAAGATTGAGAAGACAAACACTGGACGCAGGTGAGGTCAAATACACTTTTGATACTTAACCTATGTAGCCCCATGCCAAAAAGAGCCTGCCTGAACCAAGTTTACGAAAAGGCTTGAAAATCTGGAGTTAGACTATCTATCATTCTTGATTCAGCTCCCTACCGCCCTCAGGCGGGGAGCTTCCTTGAAGAAGCGTGAGCTATCCGATCCTGCGTCCTACCTAGAAGCTAACTTAGCCTAGTAGCTTGCCTCCTTACTTAATGAAGTAGGCGCCTACTTAATTGAGTAGGGATGCGGGGCCTCGGGCAAAAAAGAAAAATAGAAGTTGAAATAAACAAGCATGTTCTTCACAGCGAACTTGCAAGTTCGGACAGCCTGCGCCCTGAAAGTAGATATGGACATGCCATACCTTCGGCAGGTATGTTGGAGGCCACTAGGTGCTCATGAGCTCATGCCTTCAGCTGAGGCCATGACATCAATGGTTCGCATTTGCCGGTTGTCATCATAGTTCCATGCCTTGAGTGACTAGTGAGTAGCACGAAAACCAGCATTACCAGCGTTACCAGCACTCCAAACCCATTGAGGTACAGTTCTGAAACGATTCCTTGAGCAGGGTTGAGAGATCAAACATGTCAAACTTGAGGTCCTGGCGATTACATTGTGTGGCTTTCTGGCATTAAGCCATGCCTCTGACTTTACCGCCCCAGCTGTGCTAGATTTCCTCTTTGACAACTCAGAGTCTCTTGCTTCAGGGCAATCCGAATACAAAGCCTTGATGAACTGACACAACTCTGCGTGATCCATCGCTTTCCTGGCAGAGCTAAAATTGCAAAACCACAAACCAATCCGGACTGGGACGCGAAATCAAGCTCATCCGCAGTCTGGAGAAGGGACTCGGACCAGTGCAAGGCGCAACCTTTTGAATGTTAGCAAAAGGTCAGGGATGTTGGTCGAGAGAAACGAGACATCCAATTTCGGTCGGGCAATTCAGCGCTGCTCTCCAAAAGCGGTATTCCGTATTCCTGAATTTCCTTGTTTGCAAAATTCAACCTTGCGTGATGCATCCATACAGGATAAACACGTCCTTCTGAATCAATGAAGGCAACTATATTATATATACTGCAATTCTTGTGGGCGGGGGCATAATCTTGCTTGCCTCCTCTTATTGATGACTTCCTTTCTTGAAGCTCTCTGACTCTCTGTGACATTTTTATGTTTAGGGAATGTCTTCATCCGCTGCAAAAACTCTTTCCTCCTGCTAGCGATATCGCCGTCATCCTTTCTGTTGCTTGTGGCTAATGTGCGTCCGTGATTTGTCCACCTTTTTTGGCATCATCTGTCCTATTTCCCAGGACTGTGGAACGTCTTTGGTTTGTCTCAGCCCCACCAGTACTTCGACCGAGTGAACATAGCCAAAGTGGTAGCTGGTGGCACAGCTTCCATTCGGTAGTTCTTACTGCGCCAAGAGGGTTTCATGAAAGGGTTATGATTAACACCTGAGACTACGTACCCCCAAAACTGAAAAGTTCCCGCTTGCAAACAACTGTGTTCCAAACAGTTCCAAAGCCAAGCCGTTCAACAGAATTGCATGTTGCCTGGCCCATATGGTCCAATGCTCCATGCCAGGGGGCAACAAGTACCTGAAGAACAGAATTTGTGGAGTTAATTCAGCACTGTGAAGCCACAGGAGCACGGAAACATGTTTCGCTCCAACAGCACTTCTCGCCTAGACAAAGCATGGAACAACACACACGCTAAAACAACGTGTCTCATGCTCTGACCAAGGACTCGAGATATATTACTGTAGGTTAAATTATACACATGTAACATGTATCGTATACGTGTACGTTGCATACCTTAACATTTGCTTGCTTAATGGTTCTAATTGAGAATAATTTTCGCGTAATTTCTCAAACAGTGTGGTTGGAGGTTCTCGCGGTAGAGGTTTGGATTAAGGCTGGAATTGATCAAGGTTGCTCACTGGCCGGTCCGGCCAATTCGATGCTATTTACAGCGCATTCATGCCTTCGAAGCGCATTTCACCTGCCCAGGCTCGCGCAAACTGGTGGGCACGGGCGGGCGCTTCCTCGACTGCGCTCTCGTTGTGGTGCCTTGCACATTTTCGTAGCAAGTGCAAGGGGAATCTTCGTGCTTTGGTGGTCTGAAGTCGACTTCTCGAGGCACTCGCAGCACTTTGTGGTGTGCTTTCGTATGTGTGAGCACAGTATGCGTGTGTGTACCAACTCTGTTTCCAAGAGTTTTTTAACTCTTTCAGCAGGGGACCAGGACTCCCTGGCGCGCGTCCTGGCCAATGAAGACCGCGCACCAGGGAGGTGTAAACGTACCTGCTCTATCCTGCTCTTGTTTTAACTGTTCATTGGTTGCTGTGGTCCCTTGGTTTGTTTCATGGTGGTTCATGTGCCTGATATTGCTCCGGAATTCTAACTCATTCTAAAGGGTTTACTGCGTGGTAAAGGGCCAAAGCGTGCGTTCAAACAATTCGGATCTCTGACCCAGCACGCTGAGGATTCATCGGCCTGCCAGTTGCTGAACCTTATGCTCATTCACTTGAGCTCTATACCTAAAGTGTGACCAGCGGCATCTTCCCACAGTGGTATGCCGTGCGATCCCTGCGGGGCGCCGACTTCAAAGCTGCAGCCACCTGATTCCTGCGTTTGCATCGTGAGCCACTAGCAGATCAACAGTCTACCGCCGAGTACACGGAGAGTATTCACTGAATTTCACACTCCTCTCCACTTTTGAATAATTAACTGCACGCTTCTGAATAATGCGTGCAATGCATCCGTGAAAGACTTTTTGTGAAACTAAGTAAGGGTTAAGCTGTCCAATACGCTGTTTTCCTGCACTAAAGCGCTATTGCTGTACATCGCTAATGCACCTGAGAGAGACTCTGTGAGCCTAAGTAAGGCTTAAGCTATCCTTGAGAGTCAGGAAGACAGCCGGAGAATTGTTTAGTTGATTATTTTTTATGGTTTTTAAGAAGTTTTATGAAAACTAAGTGGCCCTCAATTTTTGGAGATTCCATTTTTATGAAGTTTTGATGGTTTTTTGCTTGTTTAATGATTTTATGATTTTTGTGTTTTTAACTTTTTATGAAAATTTTAAGATTTGTTGAGCACATCAAGAAATCATAAAACAGTTTATTTAAAATCATATTTTTCATTAAAATCATAGAGTATAAAACAAACAATTGTTCATAAATGCGTTTCATAGATTTTAATAAATAGAGCAGAAAAATATGTTGAAACCCATATTTCCTAGCCTCTCCCCAACTCACAAAGCTATCCAAAACGTTGCTTCTGCACTAAAACGCTAACGCAGTCCAGGGCCGCCTAAGTAAGGCTTAAGCTGTCCAATACGTTGTTTCTGCGCTAAAGCACTAATGCAGTCCAGGGCCAATGTCAGTGGTGGTCTGAAGTCGACTTCTCGTGGCAGTCGCAGCACTTTGTGGTGTGCTTTCGTTTGTGTGAGCACAGTACGCGTGCGTGTGTGTACCAACTCTGTTTCGAAGAGTCTTTTAACTCTTTCAGCACGGGGCCAGGACTCCCTGGCGCGCGTCCTGGCCAATGAAGACCGCGCACCAGGGAAGCGTAAACGTACCTGCCGTTGCTTCAACTGTTGATTGGTTGCTGTGGTCCCTTGGTTTGTTTCATAGCAGTTCATGTACCTGATGTTGCTCCGGAATTCGAATTCATTCTAAAGGGCTGCTGCGTGGTAAAGGGCCAATGCGTGTGTTCAAACAAGTCGTTTCTCTGACCCAGAATTCTTGCCGTTACCTCAAGTCAAGCGCTGAGTATTCATCGGCCAGCCAGTTACTGAAACTTATGCTCATTCTTGAGCTGTATATCTAACTGTGTGTGTGTCCACACCTCTTTCTAAGGAGCTTGCATAGTTCCAAGTTCCAGGTCGTTGCTGCAGTAAAGTGCTAGTGCATCCGTGATCCAGTAACTGATTCAGCTCTTAGGCCTTGGTGGCGCTGCCGGTCCCAAACTCCACCCCCTCGTCCCTTCGTTTCCTCCGTCCCCTCTCCCCCTCCGGACTTTCCTCTCTCACGCACCCATTGAGCGCCGATATCGGCATACTGTGTGTGTGTCCACACCTGTTTCTAAGGAGTTTGCATAGACTAATACACCTTCGGTGGATCTCAGGAAGTTTGCAGGGGGGCAACGGCCGGTCTTCTTACGTTGCCCAACGAAGCTGTAGAAGACTGGTGGAAGCATTCAGGTACGCCTGAGTGTGTACCTGCTTGGTGATGCAAAACAGTGTACACCTGTTGTTCTCGGCCCTTTATAAGGTCTGTTTCCAGGTTCCAGGTCGTTTCTGCAGTAAAGTGCTAGTGCATCCGTGATCCAGTAACTGATTCAGCTTTTGCGAGCATCAATCTAAGTGTGTGCGCTCTACAGTGCGGACGTTCGATTATTCACCCTTGTGTTGTTCTACTCGACGCTCTTTGGGGTCTCTTGCCGGGATGATCTGTTAGACAGTACTTTTCTTGGCGTTTTTTCTCTCATTTACTGGTGATTTTAGGTCTCCCCATTCTAAGACCCTCTTTTGGCAAAATAAGTGTAATAGCTGTAAGCTTTGGAATCATCGGTAAAACACGCTTTTCCACGTGATTACTATGCTCACTTAGCAATGCAGGGAGTACTGTGTGAACAGCGGACAATTATGCTTCATCAACTAGGGAAAGAGCCCTGCCAGAACCTCCTCCAGGACAAACTTTTCGCGATTTCCTCCATGGCATATTTGGAAATCGACAAGTGCAAACAAATCAAACTTAAAGTCAAGTCCTCTGTAGGTCTCATCCATCCATTTCAGCCTCGCTTTGAACAGCTTTGCTCAAGACACCAGAATTTTCCTGGTACATAATTCGACCTACTGTAATTGCATCGTGATTTAACTTTAGCTTTAGTTCCAATTCTTGACTCTTGCGAGTTCGACTGTAGCTCAAGCCAAGCCAAAAGCCGGAGGTAGCTAGCTGAGTTTTGAGGCAGCCGAAGTGGACCAGCGTAAGTGGAGTTGCTTGATCTTTTGGATTTGGCCAGTCTTTGGGACCACGTGAAAAATTTTTTGCAAATCAGCGATAGGACCTCACGCGCCGGACCAACTGGCATTCCTCGGACAGCACCGCACCCACAGCCAGACCCACCCACAGCGAGATTCCAGCGCACAGGTGTGGCACCCACAACAACACGCACAGAGCAAAGCACCTGTGAAAACAAAGCACCTGATGAGCCATCTTGGACCCTCTTGCATTATATATCTGCATCAAGTGGGGTATCTCACTCAGGGGATATTTGCAGTACGTCGAGTCTTGCTCCTTCATGCGGTGAAATCAATCCACAACTCAAAGTTGTCCAACTCAAGATAACTCAAGTGTCTTGACCACTACCGACAAACACAAACATATGAGATCATATGAGCAACCTTGACAATGAAAGTACAAAAGCTGGTCTTACCTAAGTAGGCTTCGTTATTGGTATTCCGCCTTCTTCTTCCAAGAACTGACACTATGTCAATGTCCTGTGCGTTCAAAAGCTGAGTTAGATTATCACCACATTATCAGTCAAGAGTGCCCACCCTCTTATCCGGTGCACTTGGGCCAGTGTCTACTAAGGCCATTTTTGTGTGTGTGCGTGTTGGGCTTCATTTCAAGTCATTCCTCCACTTTAAGCCCTCAAAACCCTGAAGACAAAACGATCGAAAAGGAGAGTCCCAAGGGGAGGTTTCGCTTTTGATTTTCCCAACCTGTGCGAATTCTCACTCCCTACGACCGTTTTGTATAAATGCCAAGCACTGGATCACAAGACTCCACAGTCAAGCCCGAAGCCTGTCGGATATCACTCTGGCTCACTCACATGTGCAACATGAGAAGTTTTTCAAGAACCCCAATAAAACAGTTCAAGCTGATAATTTTAGCGCGAGAGGAAGACTGGACTGCTTTGAATCATGTGATGATTTGACATCGCATGAGTTGTGATGCGGTAATTTGGGATGTGGCGCTTGGTCATGTCATGACACTGTAGGTAGGGAGTACTGTCAGTGATGATTTGTGAGGTGATGAAGGACAACGGGGCGATTTTTGGGGCGGCAAAAAGGTGGTCTTGCATGTGGTGAAGGATAATGTGGTGCTGGCCTCCCCCTCATACCTGACGCAGCATTGACGTGAGACTCAAAAGTGCCAACACTGCCAAAGCACAATGTCACAACTTATTAAACACAAGCCTGACAGCGCACCACTCACCACAATATTGTTGGATTCGTCACAGAGCACCACACACTTGTCATATTGTTCACATGCCAAACTCATCCGGGTTCAGCGTTCAGAGAGTCTCCTGCAAACTTTCGCCTCTCCCTCGTGCAGAACATACCAGTACCTGGTATATTGTCCGCTTTAGGAGGAATCGAAGGCCCCAGGGCTTAACAATGTGCGTGGGCCCTGGTCTGGTAGGGGGTTATCATGTACAGTATAAATTATACAAGCATAGACCCCAAACAGTTTCAAAACGATTCGCTTAGACCAATATTAGTCAAAAATCGATTTCTTGGTACGCCCTACTTTCACCCCAAGAGCAAACTGCTTCATCAATGAATTTTTGTCGGCATTGACATCGCTATTTGTTCGGCCACACTCCTCTCCAGTAAGCCGGGCCACAGAGACCAGCCACAGAGTTCAGGGGCGCGGCCAAGACAAGGACAAGAGGAGGACAAGACCCGGACACAGAGCCCAGCTACAGAGTTCAGGGGCGCGGCCAAGACAAGGACAAGGCCCAGCCACAGAGCCCAGCCACAGGGTTCAGTGGCGCGGCCAGTGGCGCGGCCAGTTCTAAGATAGAACCCCAACAGTAAACTGTCTGGGGAAAAATAGTGATGTGTGTGTATGCATGTGTCTTCTGGCTAGATCGACTCAGAATTGCAAAGAGGACATGACCTGGCGCTTTTGGCTTTCATCACGTCGTCACTGCGTTTCCAAGGCCTGCCAAACACCACCGTGCTTCAAATCGACAAGGACAGAGCTTACTGGCAGAAGTGTCAAATCCACAGGGCGCACCCGATTCGAATCGTCCTGCGCACAGAGGTTTACATGACAAATTGTTGCATGATTGCCTGAAAAGAAAGTAGCTATGCAAGACCAAAAGCACGATTCCATGTTCGACACTGTGTGGTCGGGATGAGTGCTTCATATTGATTCATATTGACAGTAATTCCTTATACTTGCGCCGCCTTCCACAATGCCTCTAGGCCCTGCAAAGCGTGCCAGCATAGACCCCAGATAGCACAAAATATTTATGGGCCGCACCATTGCAGCGGCACCAGCACCCAGGCTCCAATGCGCACATGACCATAGACATCTCTCCAAAGCGCACACAGGCATGGACAGCACCGCCCTGCAGCAGCACCAGCACCCAAGCTCCGAAGTGCACACAGCAGCTCTTCCTATACTTGAAGTAAGCACCCCAAGAGCTTTCGCTATCATTCGCTATCTTGGGAAAACTTGCCTTTTCACATATATGCCTTGTTGTCATATGTCTAGAGGCTCATCTTTTCACCCGCAACCGGTGTAGGCATTCTAACACCTCGTGAAGGTAATCCATCTTTGGGAAACTTTCTTATTGCCTCAACAGGCAGGACA